AAAATCATTAGACAGCATGGGATAAACTTCCACTGTTATGCTGACGATACTCAGTTATATTTATCCATTAACCCTGATGAACCTAATCGGTTGGGTAGATTACAGGCTTGTCTTGAGGACATAAAAAATTGGATGACTCTAAACTTCTTGCTTTTAAATCAAGACAAGACGGAAGTTCTCATCTTTGGACCAGAAATCCAGAAAAGGAAATTGCTTAGCCAATCGCCTGACCTTAATGGCATTACATTACTCTCCGAGAACAAAGCAAGGAACCTTGGTGTTATCTTTGACCAGGACATGTCATTCAAATCCCAGGTTTCACAAGTTTGTCGGATTTCCTTTTTCCACCTTCGGAATATTGCTAAGATTAGAAGCATACTTTCCAGGAGTGATGCTGAAAAACTAATTCATGCATTTATTACATCAAGACTGGATTACTGTAATTCATTACTCTCAGGAAGTCCACCGAATGTAGTTAAAAGTCTTCAGCTTGTCCAAAATGCTGCAGCTAGAGTTCTGATGAGAATTAAAAAGAGAGATCATATCTCTCCTGTCTTGGCTTCCCTACATTGGCTACCTGTTAAATTCAGAATAGATTTTAAGATCCTTCTTCTCACATATAAAGCTCTTAATAATCAAGGTCCATCATACATCAGTAATCTGATTGTTCCATATGTTCCTAACCGAGCACTTCGTTCTCAGACTGCAGGCCTACTGGTGGTTCCAAGAATATCTAAACTTAGGATGGGAGGCAGATCTTTTAGTTTTCAGGCTCCTCTCCTGTGGAACCAGCTCCCAGCTTTAGTCCGTGAGGCAGACACTTTGTCTACTTTTAAGAATAGGCTTTAAACATTTTTATTTGATAGGGCCTATGGTTAAAATCTGATGTTAGCCTAAATCAGGACAAGTGGGGGAGTAGAGGGAGGTGGAGTGTACAGTCGGTAAAGATGGCTCTCCCTTGCCCTGCCTCCAACATGCCTACATCTAAATAGGATAGATTATCCAGAGTTATCTCTGTAGTTATGCTGCTATAGGCTTACACTGCTGGAGGACACACTGACCACTTTTCACACTCTACTGCTTTATTCTACAGTCTGCTCTTTAACTGTACTATTTTCTGCAATTTCAGCTGTTAACTTTATTTTCTCCCCAGAAGAAGCAACAATGACGTTCTGCTGAGCTGTGGTGGCCTCATGGAGGGGGCCATCGACTAGCACACTGCTGCTAACCACTAATACATTCTCTCTCTCCTGATAATAACTTTTTGTTTTCATTGACTTTTGATGTGCTAATACTAGTTTATCCGTTTAATTATAGATTCACTAGGATAAATACAATAAAGTTTATCTTTCACCAAATACAATATTTACTAAGACATCACAATATAAATATAGACACATTACTTGTGTGTGTGTGTATGTGTGTGTGTGTGTGTGTGTGTGTGTGTGTGTGTGTGTGTGTGTGTGTGTGTGTGTGTGTGTGTGTGTGTGTGTGTCTGCTCTGTCTTCTCGATCCCCAGTGAGTCGTGGAGGATGGCTGCTTATACTGAGCCAGGATTCTCTGGAGGTTTCTTCCTGTTAAAAGGGAGTTTTCCTCTCCACTGTCGCTGCATGCTTGCTTAGTATGAGGATTGCTGTATAGTCACTGACACTAGTCAGTGACTTGATGCAATTTGCTGGGTTCCTTATATAGGAAACATTATTTCTGATTGGCTTAATGAACTGTGAATTGGAATGTTTATTATGTGAAGTGCCTTGAGACGACTCTTGTCGTGATTTGGCGCTATATAAATAAACTTGAATTGAATTGAATTGTTCTGTCACACCGATAGAATAGCTTTGAATAAATGTACCTGTAACCAGCCGACGCAAAACTTCTTCAGAGTTATTGATTTTGAGAAGTAAGGCGCAAAACTCCTTCAGAGTTAAGCCAGGCGCTCGACACTGTGTACCCTGCGACATCTCTGGACCAGAGGATCGGTTCTACTCGCGTCTTCTCTACCGGACAGAGTACCCTGAGGCTGACAACATCCTCCTTGACCTCCGGATCCACACAGAGGGTCGTCTTGCTGGGTGAGGTAGCACACAGATTGTGTTTGATGCTGTTCTCTCTAAGTAACAACTCAGTTAGCTGCAAAACCATCATTTCCAACCCAGAACGCGTTCCTCTCTCTGAAAGAAACCTTCTGAGAATCCATTCACTCATCCAAGCTCTCATTTCATTTTAGTTTTCCATCCAGTCACAGGTAAAGCTTTTGATACCAAGTTTAATATCAAAGCTGGTAAATTGTCATCCATGAATTGTCATCTTTAATTGTAATTTAAATTGTCATTTCTGAATTGTCGTTTCAAATTGTCAAGTTTAAAATTGTTAGTAATAAATTCTTAACTTTAAAAACTTGACTCTCTTCTTGAAATTAAACACAGAATGGTGTGTATTTCTGGTTATTGAAAAAGCAAAGATTCATTTAGCTTCTGATTAAATCAATAAACTTTTGCTATTAGATTTAATCATCTTAAATTAAACATTAATCTTTGGATTAAATATAGACCAAGCAGGTTGGTGAATGAACTTCTATCGATTATATAAGTATCCTGGATATTTATACATGATATAAGCTTCGTATGCTAATTTGCTTGATCATTCTCAGAATCTAACAACTGATAGCAAACAGTGTTGATTCTAGTATGTAGTAATACACTACATTCATAAAATACTTCCTGCTTGGCCAACAGACCCCAGGGAAGCGGCAGGGTTCGGCACCAAACAATGAAGCAGGGACCATTGTCATGATAGTCGACACCCAGCTTCCCCGATCCGCCTGGTAAATTGGCAAAGTGTCCAACGTTTTCCCCGGCACCGACGGTAAAGTAAGGAGCGCCGAAGTGCAGATCCAAGACCGTACCTACACAAGACCCATCACCCACCTAGTCGTGCTACCTGAAGTTCCGATTAAAGATTGACTCCTAGACTAACCCACTGCTGTACGTTGGCCTTTCCAGGGGGCAAATTTACCCCAAATTTGGGGGCGGCTGTGTTGGAAAGGCCACCAGGTGGCACACTCGAGGACTCACGCTCTCACTCTCTCGGAGCAGAGCTGATGACAGTGCAGAGGAGACCACCGAGCAGAGCAGGTGGAGAAGCACATGAGATGGCAGAGTGGAGGAGAGTTTTTTACTTAGCTAGTTCCCAGGTTAAGTCAGCTTTGTTTGCGTGAATGCCTGCTAAGTAAGTAATCCTTTGTTTCCTGGACCTGCTTACATAATGTGTTAGGAGTAAGTCTGTTTGCCTCGTGGTGTTCTGGAATGTTTTCATGTTGTAGTTATGCTTGACAGTAGTCATGAATCTGCACTGCCCTATTGTATGAGAGTGTAGGTCCCTGTTGCCTATTTTATGCATGTGTGTAGGTTGCAGTGTTGGATGTGAGGTGGTTAATAGCTGTAAATGTGATTAATTTGGTTTAGAATCTCAGAATATTTGAGCGTTTGTAAATCCCTGAAATGCCACTAGATGTCCTCCTTGTAACATGTCTGCCCTGGCAGTTGCCCAGAGGGTTTTTCGCTGGCTGGGCCATTCCCATCTGTACCGGGTCGGCCCGGGCCGGGTAGCCCCAGTCGGCCCCAGCCTGGCCCGGTTGATTTCACACATCCTTGTCTTAAGCCCATGTGGGCTGATTCTACCCACCAATCAGAGGCTTGCTCTAATGGAAGGTGTGAATGAGCTGATTCTACCCACCAATCAGAGGCTTGCTCTAATGGAAGGTGTGAATTTGCTGTCAGCAGTGGGTGTGTTGGCCCTGGTCGGCCTGAAGCAGACCCCCTCGAGAAGAGGGCTGAGAATGAGCCTTGGTTGGCCCGGAAAAATTCCAGGCCACCCAGATATGTAAACAACCTACGCTACCCGGCCCGGGCCGACCCGGTACAGGTGGGAATGGCCCATATGCTACCCGGCCCGGGCCGACCCGGTACAGATGGGAATGGCCCATAGTACCGACACCCCAGGAAGACACCCTTTAACTCCCTCCCTGATACAGTCCATCTACCTACTAACAACAGGCAATCTTACAAATATATATATATATATATATATATATATATATATATATATATATATATATATATATATATATATATATATATATATATATGTACCACTTTGAAGAAGCCTGCTGATGATTGAAATCAAGTGTGTTGAAGCTCAGGGACAGCCATGAACAATCCTGTGTATTTTTGACCTCTGACCTCTGCTTATTCAGGTACTTTTGCACCCCCTTCTTTATTGATGCCACCATAAACACACACATTTAGCTCTTTAAGGAGCTGCACCTAAAGTTTACAGCCCAGGCATTCACTTTATTTTTAGTGTGAATTCGATTAAGTTTAACTTGCTATCTATTTCCACTAGGTGGCAGAATAACACCAGATATATTTTATGTAAAAATAATGAAAACTTTTTATCATAGTGCTAAAAAGTAAACGTTATAACGCAAAACAAAATTCAAATAAGAAAATTATTTTAAATAAAAAAGGTGTAAACATAATTAAATATTTATAATTCTTCATAATTTTGAAAACAATCATAAAAATATACAGAATATTAGAAGTATGGTATTAGCCAGTGTTGATGTGTTTAGCAGGTCTGGTTGGGTTTAGCAGCTGAACTGTGCAGTAGGTGAGACCCTGAGCCAGGTTCTCCGGAGCTCGGACTGCTGTCTTTCCAACCAAAAGGACCTCGATGACAAAGAGCATTGATGAGTTTGGATTTTTGAATAACAATAATAAAAACAATTATCATTATCAGAACAATTAAAATGCAGAGAACGAGACGGAGAGACGAGAAGTGGGAGATTGGATGAGCTGTGGGAAAATAAAAGACAAAAGCAGTTATTTTAAAAAAGATGTCAGAACATTTTATATTAAATGGCTTTAATTAGTTTATTTACGTTTCAGTGAAGACAAACAGCTCAAACATCAGAACGGTGTATCCACCCGTATGTTTACCTCTTATGGAGAGCGTGATGGTGGCGAATGTGGAGAGTTGGAGGTCAGATTCCAGTTTACAGGTGTAGTTCTTTAACATTTCCTCCTCTGACACTCTTTTGAAGACTAGCGAGGCTGTCATGTGTATTACATTTGTGCTTTTCGTTCTGCAACGAGATCCACATGAAACTGGGTATGCGAACATAAATGATCTTTTTCCAGTGTTTCTGTGATTTTGATATGTGACTTTTTATCATTTTACCTTGAATAATTGTAGAAAACTGGCAAGCTGTCATTGATTTCTACAAAAGATTTATCGCTTATCCAAAACACCTCTTCATAGTCCGAATACATGACAGCTTTACACTCGATCACCGCGGTCAAGCCTTTAAAGGAAGAGCTGAATCTACATTATCGGTTTATTTTATAGATAAAATCTGTTTTTTGGACGTTTTTCAGAAACTCACCTAAATCTACAGGAAATACATCATTATGCTGCGGTGACAGAATCACAGATTGTCTATATTTTCCTGTGGAAACATGAGGAATGTTTAAAACATTTTAACTGGTGATGTAGATTTAAATTTGAACATGTCTAATTTCTTACTGCTTGGCTGGACATCCAGTGCCACTGTGAAGCTCCTGTTGTAAATGTGACCTCTGTAGAGGTAAGATCTGATGCAGGTGTAGACGCCGCTGTCTTTGTCCTGCACGCTAGAGAAGTAATGATGAGTTGGTGATGTCTGGCCCTCCTACGAGATAAAAAAACAAATCTTTTGAAACAGTACCCAGATGATCAGATCTTCCAAACTCATAAATCTGTTGGGCCGATTCTCACCCTACCTTGTACCACGTAATGCCTCTACTGGTGATGTTGGGAGTGTCTCTGTTAGGGATGCTCTCTGTAGGGCAAAACAATGTGCAGGAATCCTGGGTGAAACAAGTCGTAGGGTACTGGCTCCTCTCTTCATGGTCTCTGGATTTTGAAGTGTCCACTCTGAGTCTGAACCAGAACTGGTTGCTGGTATTCCTGGCATGACAACAAAGATTGTTTTGTAAAATGTTATATATTAAAATAACTTTGGATTATTCTGGTGGGTTAAGCCCTGGAGAATTATGTGGCTCAACGGGAATCAAACCCTGCTGTATCTGAGGTGTATTTGTCCATCCATCCATTTTCTGTACCCGCTAATCCACGTGCGGGGGGGCGGGGGGGGGGGGGGGGGGGGGGGGGGGGTTGGTGCCTATCTCCAGCTATCTCCAAGCAAGCAGGCGGGGTACACCCTGGACAGGTTGCCAGTCCATTTATTTGTCTATTTACATAAAAGTAAACCAACACAGTTCCTTGTAGCCGGGCAGTGGCAGTTCTACATGGAATTACTCCCCGGGCGAGGAGCCCCCCCACCCCCCCCCCCCCCACCCCCCACCCCCAACCGCCGCCACCACCACCACCACACCACCCCACCTGCACGAACACACACGTTTTCTACAAACAGGCATGTTTTATTAGAACGACTATTGAACATTCATTTTTCTAAGTTGCACATATTTACATTAATTACTATGAAGTTGTCAGAATGTAAAGCAATATACATTATACACTGTATCAAAATATATAGAATCAAATATACAAAAACAACTAAACTAACTAAATATTAAGAATATATGCACATAATATATAATAAATATTCTAAATAGCAAAAATATTTCACACATAACAAACTAAAGATAATCACTACAGCATTGCACTTAGAACAGAAAACACAAACTAAAATTAAAACCTAACCTTGATGCAAAGTCATCAATAATGTCATCATATGAAATCTGCTCCCCTACTGAGTGATTGATACTAATCAGAGCCAGGTTAGTGAGCCACCCCTGAAACATAGGTGACCTCAGGTATGACTTGATCAAGTTTTGAAAAGCTGCTCTCAGCTGGAGCCACAGTGACTGGCAGAGCAGTCCAAAGGTTGGGGTAGATCTCCAATAGATCTTTATCATGATCCATAATATTTTAGAATTGCCTCTGAAATTGTAATTTAAACTGACAAAAAAAAACTGTAGACTACCAAAAATGCCAACTTTTACAGAACAAGTCATGTAAAAAATAATCAGTGCAGCCATCTACAATAAATAAACAGGATAGTTAGTGGTGACTGGGGAGTTTTCTTCTGCTTGTACAGTTGTTTTATTTATTATTATGTGAACTTGATCAACATGTGTTTGTTGTTGTTCAGGCAGGCCACAGGCTGCAGCGAGCATTTAACAAATCCTAGTTTGAATCAGTAAAAAACGATTCAAGGAATTTATTCGAACCATTTGAATATTCGTTTCAATATTTCAGCCCTATTAGCTCTGTTAGCAACTAGTTGACCGAATTTAACCATTAAAATCCCAGTTAACTGGTTCAAAAAATTGAAAACATGCATCATGAGAGCGAACATACCTTTATCTTTCTCCTCTTTTTTTCTTTTTTATTCCTGAATCGGGCAACTGGTGGTTTTAGCCTTTTTATGTTCATCTCTTGTGTTTGGCTCCTGACTCAGTAAGTTTCCTTTAGTCAGGACAAAACAATTTGACCTTGATGGGGGGGTGACCACAAAATCGTTTTGTTTTTCCTTTTTTTATTCGGCCATTTCACACAATTCAGAAACACCTGAAAGAATGATAGGCCTGTGTTTATGATATTATGAATGAGATGTGGAAGAACATCAAGATGTGATCGACTTTAGCCATGTTAATACAGTTGATTCAGCCCCTACTCGCTCATTTCATTTGGACCCACCCAAAGGTGAATTCCCCCGCCACACCCCTCCCCTTCCTCTTCTTCATACACACACGGTGCACGAAGCGCCTGCAGCTGCAGGGGGCGCCAACTTGCTGTTTCCAATCCAGACACTGTCATATGACAGATAATAGAAAACCTCGGTGCGGCGCAGGTTTCTTTTTTTTTTTTCTTTTTTTTTACTCAGCGCCTGTGCGCCCCTTTTGTGTCATGAAAAAATGCCGCCCCGGGCAACTGCCCTGTCTGCCCGTGCCTAAAACCGCTATTGTGGCCGGGAGACCTGGGGATGGACTGTCCAATCTCGGGGGCAGAAGTTGCTGAGGTAGTCAAACAACTACACAGCGGCGGAGCCCCGGGGGCGGATGAGGTTCATCCTGGGTATCTCAAGGCTATGGATGTTGTAGGGCTGTCATGTTGACAGGTCTCTGCAACATTGCGTGGTCATCGGGGGCAGTTCCTGTGGAGTGGCAGACCGGGGTGGTGGTCCCGATCTTTAAGAAGGGTGACCTGAGGGTGTGTTCCAACTATAGTGGGATCACACTCCTCAGCCTCCCTGGAAAGGTCTACTCCAAGGTACTGGAGAGGAGGGTCCGATCGAATCTCAGATTCAGGAGGAGCAATGTGGTTTTCGTCCTGGCCGTGGAACTGTGGACCAGCTCTATACCCTTGCAAGGGTGATGGAGGGGGCATGGGAGTTTGTCCAACCAATCCACATGTGTTTTGTGGATTTGGAGAAGGCTTATGACCGTGTCGCCAGGGACACCCTGTGGGGGACGCCCCAGGAGTATGGGGTGGGTGGCTTTCTGTTAAGGGCCATTCAGTCCCTTTACCAGAGGAGCATGAGTTTGGTCCGCATAGCCGTAGTAAGTCAGACCTGTTGCCGGTGAGGGTTGGACTCCGCCAGGGCTGCCCTTTGTCACCGGTTCTGTTCATTACCTTTATGGACAGAATTTCTAGGCGCAGCCGTGGTGTGGAGTGCGTCGAGTTTGGTGGAAGGAGAATCTCATCTCTGCTTTTTGCGGATGATGTGGTCCTCCTAGCTTCATCCAGCTCTGACCTTCAACTCTTGCTGGGTAGGTTCGCGGCCGAGTGTGAAGCGGCTGGGATGAGGATTAGCACCTCCAAATCTGAGACCATGGTTCTCGACCGGAAAAGGGTGGCTTGCCAACTCCGGGTCGGGGGAGAGGTCCTACCTCAAGTGGAGGAGTTTAAGTATCTTCGGGTCTTGTTCATGAGTGAGGGTAGGAGGGATCGGGAGATCGACAGGCGGATTGGTTCAGCATCTGTAGCGATGCGGACACTGAGCCGATCTGTCGTGGTGAAGAGGGAGCTGAGCCAGAAAGCCAGGCTCTCGATTTACCGGTTGATCTACGTCCCAATCCTCACCTATGGTCATGAGCTTTGGGTAATGACCGAAAGAACGAGATCACGGATACAAGCGGCTGAAATGAGTTTCCTCTGTAGAGTGGCCGGGCTCAGCCTTAGAGATAGGGTGAGGAGCTCGGACATTCGGGAGGGACTCGGAGTAGAACTGCTGCTCCTCCGGATCGAAAGGAGCCAGTTGAGGTGGTTTGGGCATCTGGTCAGGATGCCTCCTGGACGCCTCCCTGGGGAGGTGTTTCGGGCATGTCCTGCCGGCAGGAGGCCCCCGGGTCGACCCAGGACACGTTGGAGAGGTTACATCTCCAATCTGGTCCGGGAACGCCTTGGGGTCCTGCCGGAGGAGCTGGTGGAGAAGGCCGGGGAGAGGACGGTCTGGAGCTCCCTAGTTGGGATGCTGCCCCCGCGACCCAGACCCATATAAGCGGAGGAAGACGACGACAATGCTCAATAAACAAAAATAGTTTGTTTTTTTTGGCTAAAAGTGCCATCCACCCATCTGCCCATCCATCCATGCACGCATGCATGCTCCCATCCATCCATCCATCCATCCATCCATCCATCCATCCATGCATGCATGCATGCTTCCATCCATCCATCCATCCATGCATGCTTCCATCCATCTTCTCATCCATTCATTTTCCTCCACTTCTCCAGGGTCGGGTCGCAGGGGCAGTAGCCTAAGCAGGGAAGCCCAGACTTCCCTCTCCCCAGCTACTTGGGCCAGCTCCTCAGGGAGAATCCAATGGTGTTCCCTGGCCAGCCCAGAGACACAGTCCTTCCAGTATGTCCTGGGTCTCCTTTTGGATCTATTTCTCGTCAGACATGCCCAGAAACCTCACCAGGGAGGAACCCAGGAGGCATCCTAATCAGATGCCCAAGCCACCTCAACTGGTTCCTCTCCAAGTGGAAGATCAGCGGGTCTACTCTGAGCCCGTCCCAGATGACCAAGATTCTCACCCTATCTCTAGGGAGAGCCCAGACACCCTGTGGAGAAAACATTTCAGCCGCTAGCATCCACCATCTCATTCTTTTTGTCACTACCCAAAGCTCGTGACCAGATGAGGGTTGGAGTGTAGATCGACCAGTAACTCGAGAGCTTCGCCTTCCAGCTCTGCTCTATGTTCACCACGACAGACCGCTGCAACGCCTGCATCACTGCAGACAGCACCAATGCAAAATACCATCTATTGAAATGCGTTCTCAAACATTAGATGGTGAAAGCTTATGTGGGGTATATTCACACGCATACCCCTCATGTTTTGGGAAACCTCAGAGATTTTATATTAATGCGCATGATCAGAATAATTCCAAATGGGTCCAAAAACACTCAACTGATGACTCTACAGAATAAACCAAGCATAAACATGACAAGATGCCACCAACAGTTTGCTGAATTTGATGAATCTTCTTTAAATTGAACTGGTAAAACCTAATTTAGACCCTGAGGTGGACTGGTGATGTGTCTAGAGTGACAGACACCACCTCCCCTTAGACAAATGATTGGAAACCTAATCTACACTCTACGGTACACAATCAGTGGAAATAAGTCAAGTGTCCCTTGTGATGTGTTTTTGCAACATGTCAAGCAATGTTTGAGTCTTACCTAACAGAGCAGGAGTAATTCCCCTGATGGACGTCTGAAGCTCTGACAATGACGAGGCTCCATCCGAGAATCAGCACATCCGTCTGACGGTGATCAGCTGATGCTGATGTAATGTTGGTATGAGTCATCCCCTGACTGGTGTGACTGGTCCACACCAGCTCAGGGTGATGGTTCCAAGGGCAGTGCATGACCACCATCTCACCTGCCTTGATGTTCAGAACCTTTGGTCCTATCGAGCACACAACTGCACAAGAGTCACACAGTTTCATTCATTTCATTTATTTCTGGACATAAAATATGTTTGAGACATTACTATAATTCCTTCTGAACTAAAGTTATGACTCATAATAACTTGTTGACATTTAAAGATGTGAACGTTCCACATTGAGAAGCTTTTTCTTTGGCCTCACTTGTGCGAATCCAAATTCAGAGACATTAATGATTTGTTATTTTAAAGAGTTTGTTCAACTCCACAACACACTAGCACTTTTAGTTTTTCTACCATCAGATGTTAAGAATATTAAAGGGAAAACAAACTATTATTTTCAGCAACAGAATTAACCACAGTCAGTCCCTGAAGCCTAATCCCAACCCAATCATTTTACTTTAATGGTTGACTCTCTTTATCACAACCCCCAAAAAAGCAAAGAATACCCCCATTTATCTCTTGTGTTTGTATTTTAACCCGCAGCTAAACAAAATCACACAATGAGTTTCACATGAAAATATCTATTTTAAAGCCATCATATTGTTAACAATATTACTGACTGGAGTTAAATCAGATATTCTATTTGATTGATGTCCATTGTATTCTATTCTATTTTCTATTCTACTCAATACTATTCTATTCTATTATATTCTATTCTAAGTGATGTCCTGGTTTCTCTTACCTGTCAGCGATGTCAGGAGAAGCAGCGGGACTTGAGGTACTCTCACCATATTTGTCTCGGGAGATTTGAACGTTTTCTCAGATGTTCTGAAGAACCGAGCCTATACAATTCTAAATCAGCTGTTAGAAGGAGGTGCCATTTAGCCTTCCCGTAGCTTTTGCTTTTGTTTCTCAACTAGGAGCCTACATAATTTCTCAGGATGATTACGCACTTAGGTTGGTTGTAGTTTCATAGTTGAACAATGACTGTTTTCTTTAAAATATCAGAAATGATTAATGGTGTATCCCTGACGCATTTGCGCGGTGAGTTCCAGCTAATGACGCAGCTACAGCGGGGCGCAACTCCACCCGCAGACGCGCTTCGGATGTTCCCGACCTCCCAATGGATGCAGCAGGTGTTGTGCCATAAATCGACTCGCTGCCAAAAAAATGATTAGCCACCGCGGGATCGCGCACGGTTAGGCAATTGCATTTCTAGACGAAATTCCCCAGGATTTCGTCCTAAAACTTATAGCAATATGGACATTCAGAAAGCAGAGATAACCTCTTCCGGTACTTAAACAGATGTTTATCGCGGATATTAGTTTTTCCAGTTCGGAAGTTGTTTTAAGTGTTGCTATTTGTCTTAAACGTTCACAATGAGGATATATTAATCCTTTTTGCAATATTTGCGATTGAAAGATGGATTGTGGTACTGTCTTTCTTAATGTTACAGCCTTGATACTAAAAAATAAACAATGTAAAATGGCGCCCTGTATTGAATGTAAACGTCGTATAAATGTAAATAAACAATTCTCCAGCGATTTGATTTTTTCCCCTTCCTTTCTTTAGTCCACTTGACATGGAGCCACAGTTAACTAGTTTGGGGCACATTTTTACTTGAAAAATAGTATTTAAACTGATCAAGCTTTGGCTTTACAATGACACTGTGTAGGTTACTATCTATACATTACGTTGCTCTATTTAAAAGTAACAAGATAAGAGCACTTCAGCACATAAAATTAAGATTGTCACTTGCCAAATAGAGACAATACCCTCCTGTTTACCAATAAGAAACGCCTAAAAACATCTTTAAATTCTTTATTGATGATTTAATTGTCGACAACTAAAATGGCATTTTACTTGTCAATAAGTGATTGAATCTCAGATTTTCATGGAGGCTAAAATTGACCAAATAATGGTTTTATGTATTATCTGTTGATGTTACTGTACTCATACTGCCTACTGTATCATCATAAACACCCCAAAAAGGGCAAAAAAAAAAAAAAGAGATAATCTCCCCTGCCAAAAATTGATTACAGAGTCCTGGTCACGTGTAAAGGGTTAAATTTACCTAAATATTACCTTATTTATTATCTCTTGATGTTATTAGTCCCATCATAGGGTGCTGGGTGTCTTCCACATTCATAAACACCTCAAAAATGGCAACAAATGATCATTTCCCTTATCAAAAATTCATTACAGTGTCCTGGTCACATGTAAAGGGTTAAATTTACCTAAATATTACTTTCTGTATTTTCTCTTGATGTTATTATTCCCATCACAGGATGCTGGGTGTCTTCCACATTCATAAACACCTCAAAAATGGCAACAAATGATCATTTCCCTTGCCAAAAATTCATTACAGTGTCCTGGTCACATGTAAAGGGTTAAATTTACCTAAATATTACTTTCTGTATTTTCTCTTGATGTTATTAGTCCCATCACAGGATGCTGGGCCTCTTCCACATTCATAAACACCTCAAAAATGGCAACAAATGATCATTTCCATTGCCAAAAATTGATTACAGAGTCCTGGTCACATGTAAAGGGTTAAATTTACCTAATATTACTTTCTGTATTTTCTCTTGATGTTATTATTCCCATCACAGGATGCTGGGTGTCTTCCACATTCATAAACACCTCAAAAATGGCAACAAATGATCATTTCCCTTGCCAAAAATTCATTACAGTGTCCTGGTCACATGTAAAGGGTTAAATTTACCTAAATATTACTTTCTGTATTTTCTCTTGATGTTATTAGTCCCATCACAGGATGCTGGGCCTCTTCCACATTCATAAACACCTCAAAAATGGCAACAAATGATCATTTCCATTGCCAAAAATTGATTACAGTGTCCTGGTCACCTGTAAAGGGTTACATTTACCAAAATATTACTTTATTTATTATCTCTTGATGTAATTAGTGCCATCACAGGATGCTGGGTCTCTTCCACATTGATAAACACCCCAAAAATGGCAACAAATGATCATTTCCTTTGCCAAAAATTGATCACAGAGTCCTGGTCACCTGTAAAGGGTTAAATTTACTTAAATATTACTTTATTTATTATCTCTTGGTGTTATTAGTGCCATCACAGGATGCTGGGCCTCTTTCACATTCATAAACACCTCAAAAATGGCAACAAATGATCATTTCCCATCGCCAAAAATTGATTACAGTGTCCTGGTCACCTGTAAAGGGTTAAATTTACCTAAATATCACCTTATTTATTATCTCTTGGTGTTATTAGTGCCATCACAGGATGCTGGGTGTCTTCCACATTCATAAACACCTCAAAAATGGCAACAAATGATCATTTCCCTTGCCAAAAATTGATTACAGTGTCCTGGTCATCTGTAAAGGCTGGCTGGGAAACTGGTCTGGTCTCTGGGTCTGAAGCAGACCTGGCTGCCAGCTGCAGGTGAGAGCAACAAGCACAAATGCCAGTGTGTGAGAGAAATTTAGTTCATCTTCTGAAAAAATAAACAATATAAGTTTTTCCTCACACCATAACTCAGGTAATAGTAATAATGTTTTTGTAGTGGGATTACATGTTGGTGTATAACTTTGAGTAATTTTTCACTATATCATAGAGCTCCAATGTAAACTACAATCCATTCACAGATCATGTTTTCATAATGCTGTAGAACAAATTATAGGCTCAGATCAGCCTGACATGCATGTGAGGCCTGGAGCACCCAGAAAAATCCCAGTCATGCATGGGGAGAGCATGCAAACTCCACACAGAAAGGCCGCAGCCTGGATTCAAACCTGCAACCTTCTTGCTGCAAGGCGACAGTGCTACCATCTGCACCACCATTGAAACAGTGTGTGTGTGTGCGTGTGTGTTCCCTTGCAGCAGCTCGTCAGATGGTAGTGCAACTGAACTTTGCGGCTGTCTCATGTCAGACTCCTTTCAGTTGCAACATCGTAGAGAGCTGCGTTAGAGAAACTCTTGGGGTGCTGTACAAAGCTTTGGCCTCAGAGAAAAAGGTGTTTAAAAACAACAAGGTGACTCCTCTACTTAGTGTCTTTTTTATGGTGTCAGGTTTCCGCCAAAACCCGTGCAAGCGTAGCCAAAACCCGTGCACGCGTATTGTGCACATCGCGCGTGCGAACGGGACTCGCGCGTGGAGGTTAGAACCTCATGAGTGAAAATATACATGGCGAGGAGGTCATTTGTACACTGAGAGGGAGCAAACTGTGTCTGTGAGTGCACAAGGATGTGCACAAGTGACAAACCTGCGTGCGCTCGTTGGCCAACGAGCACACGGCAGAGGAAAACATGCGCGCGGCAGCCTCACTGCGCGCTCGGTGCGGCAGCCTCACTGCACGTGTGGCAGCCTTTCTGTGCGCTCGGTTTCTGATTCTGCTCGCTCGGCTGTTGGGAGTTTTGGCACTCTGGAGGCGTGGAAGAATTAAAGTGCCAGAAACTGAGCAGTTGAACTTTCAATTTGAGAGCAGAATTTCATATCAAGAGACCATCTTTTTAATTTCAGAATACTATTTTATATTATTGCTCTCAAAACTTGTAATGCTTGCGCTCAAAATGTCTGCTCTCTTTCAAATTCACTCTGTTCTCCTTCAAATCTTTGTTTTTGCGCTCAGATTTAACCTTCTTACACTGGTATTGTCTTCTCATGTGACAACTTTTTCTCTACACGGATCAAAACTCCTCCCACAAGTCTGTCCCCTGCTCTCACGGATCTTGTCTGCTCTCGCTCAAAACTTAGAAGTACAATCTCCTAGCAACCGCTCAGCCAATAGAAAGACTTGTGGGACTGGGCGGGAACAAACCTCTTTGGGGTGCGCTCGTTTTGATGCTCTGTGGATTTTCCTGTGTGGCTGCCGCATCTGCGCACTAACAGCCTGGCTAATACCCGCTCTGATCTGGAGCGAGAGTTTCACCTGCACCAGCAAAATGGACCAGAACCAACAAGACGCTCAAGTAAGTTATTTTTCAAGGCTACTAGCTGCAGTTTATTCCATAAAATTGTTTTGTTATGCTACTTTTTACGACTCCTCGCATTTAATATTGCAACAGGGGCACATAGCTAGGTGGATTAGGTTATTCACTATAGCTACAACTTTCATAAAATGGCCTCAGCAGATTTGAGTTTTACCCTAACATATCACTCGTCCCCAATGCTAGCTCTGGACCTAGTGTAGATGTTTTTTGTTTAGTATTCCCACCTTTGTTTTTAATAGTTAGCTCTTTGGACATTACAGTAGTTATTCGTTAGCGTTTACTCCATGAACATTGTTTCCTCATCTAACTGCTAACTATCAAAATGTGTTTCATCCATCGACATAAATATATCCCAATGTTTTTCTCGCGCTGTAATGAACAAGATGGGTCATCAAAGTAAGAGAATGTTATTAAAAAGTGGAACTCGTTATAATTGAACGATGGAAAATTTTGACCAAAGCCGTAGGAGAAAACCGTTTTTGATAGGGAAACACATTTTGACACAACACCTGCCCTGACTGGCGCGTCAGCTAGCTTTCAATCGGTTGGTAGGTTTCTGAAAATATTAATGCTATGTTAAGTGAGTGTAATCCAGTAGTAATTTCCCCAACAAAATAACAATTTCTATTTTTGCTCAATTCCTGCCTCCTTCCATTTCATTTTGCACTTGCATTATTTCTTTTTGTAATCCTGTCAAACCTAGCCGCTGGTCTTTAAACATAATGAGCCTAACTTACTAATACTGAGTCTGGGGTTACATAAGCAGTAACAAAACAAAAACAGTTTCTGTTTCTAAGTCTCAGCAATGAGTAAGGTTGTATTTCTGGTGTAAGCGAACTAACATTTGTTTTCTGTGAAATGCGCGAAATGTTGTATTACACAGTCTGTGGTACCATGATGCAGCACAATTCACTGTTGCATGTTAAACCACAGAAGATGTAGATGAAAATGAATGTAATGGCTGAGGTGGAGGACCTGTAATGACACCAGAAAATAAGAAAATGTGTAAAAGCTTTATTAAAAGTTTAGTCCTGAAATTCTCATGGTAATCCAGGGAAGCAGGTTGGTGCATGGTCAGGGAACAGGCGTGGGTCAGGGCCAGATAAACAGCAGGTTCCATCCCAGCTCCAACCAGAGAGTGCTGCTGTTGTGTCCTTGGGCAAGACACTTAACCAACTTTGCCTGCTGTTGGTGGTCGGAGGGACCGGTGGTGCCAGTGTTCAGCAGGCCCGCCTCTGTCAGTGTGCCCCAGGGCAGCTGTAGCTACTATCTGGCTTATCACCACTGTAAGCATGTGAAAAGGGTGTGGCTGTTGTGTAAAGTGCTTTGTAGGCCTTGGACTTGATAAATTTCAATAAATGTGCAAGCCAATTACAATTTTTTTCAATTTGTAGGTGTTTCCCATTTGCTGTATAACCAAATACAACTTTTTCTGTGTTTTTTGTTTTATTTCTTTAGACTGGTTCCATCCGAGAAGTTACGAGAAACCTTATGGATTTACTGAATGCTCATCTACAAGCAGAGGGCCCGCAACAAACACCAACTGTGCCACAGCGCACAACACCAGCGACAACACCTTAACAGACTATCCCTCGGTCTACAGTTCATCAAGAAATGTCAAGGTAAGTTAAGTGTAGAAATGTAAATATTTGACATCTGTATTGGTCTATTCAGTGGTTTGAAATTAAATTATTCCAATGATGCTTTATTATTCATCTTAGAAAGAGGCTTTCTGCAATTGACTGTATTTTTTTTTTTACATAGTGAAATTAAATTCTGAAATAATGTAAGCAGTGTAGTATAGGCTACAGCTAGGGCTGGGCAATATATAGATATTTTAAAATTATGAATATAATTTTAAATGAGAAACAAGATGACTTTGTATTGATATAACTAGTCAAGCCACATAAGCTAGCAACTAGCTTGCTCCGTCTGTAAGCGGTCATTTCATGTATTCTCACAAATCTGCTCAATCAGAAAACCTCTGGGTAAATGTTCTGCCCTAAACTTTGCATTTGGCTTCATGGTTTTTAATTATTTGGGGATATTCGTTCATGTTTCATCAAGCCTGTTCACCGTGGTTACCAACGGAGTTCTGTTTACCCCTCCCTCCCTCGTGTAATTGGGAAACCACTACAGAGAGCCGGAGTGGCCAAATTACCTCAAACATGTTGTAATGGCTTCAGCTGTAAACGTTAGGGTTAACATTTAATTTTGAAGGTGAGTTCAGCGCTAAAAGTTTTTCTGGTTCCGGTTTTTGATGCTTTGCTATGGTCGGGGCTCAGCCACGTGAGTTCGGAATAGAACGGGTGGTTTCTTGTTCACATGTGATTCCCAGGGCTTCTCAGGAATGCGGAAATCCCCGAGCATGTGGGCGGCGGTAAAGACGCGCGGAAGAAGTCTGCGGTGTCCGCCTATGCTAAACAATAATTCCTCATCAAACCGCTGCACCAGCACACACTGCGCTTCTCTAATAATCTGCTCTCCTCTAATCCTTCCTACTTCAGCGCTGTAGTGTCCTCCGCTGCAGACGTGTCCTTATAACCGCTGCTACACACACACACTGCTGTCCTCCTCTGCTGCGGAGCGGGTGACAGCAGCTCAGTGCTTCATGTGGGCTAAACAGCAACCAGGATGAAAAGTAATCGCATATGCGGAAACCCCCCGGTGTTTGATCCAACTCCCCAATAGGAGGCGGTAGGTGTGAGTTTCAGCTGCCAATCAGTCCATAGTGTCTGCTCGGCACCAGCCGGACCTCCGAGGGAAGTAGTCTGAAAAAAAAGTCTCCTTAGAACGAAATACACACATGTGAGCCATATGTGAACAAAACATTTGGTTCCGAACGCATCCATGCCGACCCAGATGTGAAAGCGGCTTAAGTGAGGGAAAATACTAACATGGGATGACTGTGAGAATAAGGAGTAAAATAGTTTAGTTTTAAAAATAGTTTCCAGCTCAAAACAGGAGACTTGACAGGTGTGATCCTGGAATTGTGGATGAAGTCTGTCAGTGAAGCTCTTGGGATCACAGCTCCACCTCTCAGTTCAGACTCCACAGAGCTCCTAGTGTGTGAGTTCTTGTTCTCTTCTGTACTTTTAACGTTAACGCAGGAGAGTGTTTGCTGTTGTATTTCAGTTATAATGTGAACAACCACACAAAACATTAAATTTACTCAAAAATTCTGAATGGATTTTTAAGACCTGCCGTGTGAACGTAGCCTTAAGCCTGATTCATGCTTCTCCGTCTGCGTCAGTGCGGAGACACGCAACGTCCTTGCGTGCCTGCCGGAGAGCTCCGCAAGGACGGACGGAGTCAAGCTCTCTTTTCTAAACAGCCGTCAGTCGAGACAGACAACGCAAGCTTGTGATTGGTCAGGATGCCGCTGTTGTTTACAGCGCCGCCATTGCACCCTCAAAAACATAAAGAGAGCCGAGGATAACAAGCGGCAGACACGGAGCAGCTTGAAGAATACCTCGCGAAAAAACTCTAAAAACATGAACTTTTAGTTCCCCCGTGACTGGAGGAGAGAGAAGATGCGCAGCAAGCGTTTTATTTGTGGACGGAAATGACAGGAAACGTGGGTTTAGAGGTGGCGAGCGCATGAAGAGGTGGAGGAGAATGAGAGACAAATATGTCCGTGTTAAAAGTCTCTTATATACACAAAAAATACAATATAAACACATTATCTTGGACCAATACATGACAGGATACCACAGAACAGCGCTACGCCCTCTGTTGTCCTGCCGAGGAATTGCTTTGCAACACTCTCCAGGAGACGGAGAAGTATGAGAGCAAAACACTTCCGTCAATCCGTGCGTGTCTGTCCCTTGCGGAGCTGACGGAGAAGCATGAATCAGGCTTTAGACAGCATGTTTCTCTGTACATAAGCCGTACCATAGACATCATTGGCTGCTGGAGAGTAACTGCTTCACCGCCATATTGAGTAGGTTTCTAACTCCAAAACCCAATTTGAATCCAGTCATTGGAGCAACTATGCCTGTTTTTGTGCAGCTCACAGTTCCAACAACCAGCAGTTACATCTGCCTGTAAGCTTTGTTTGTTAATAAAGTTATATAAAAATAAAAAAAAAACTGTTACGTCACGATCTCCTTGCTTTCTACAGGAAGTTTAAAAAATTATTTCAATAAAGATTGAAACACAAACATGAAGCTAAATGAGGAGCTCTATGAACATACTGAACGCCGCTTTAAAAGATACTGAATGTGAAATATGGCATTTCTCTACTGCTGACTGATGAAAGGGAGTCCGATGTGCCTGTTGTCATTTTGCAGGAGGTTGAACGATCTGACAAGGTAGTTAGCCCGTAAAAAAATTGTGCTGCAACACTCCCAGGGCTTTTTTTGGTGGCCTTTACGGCTATTCATTGGTAGGCTCATCACGGAACACAAAAATGTAGCTTGTTTGTTATGATTTAGGTACGTACTGCCCCCTAGTGGCAGAAAACTACAGACTGTCGCTTAAAGAAATAGCATAAAATGGCCAGAGATGCAATTCAATATATATTCTCTTCTACGGTTTTAAAATTTTGAAATAATTATCTATCGATCGATTAGATTTTTTTAAATTAATATGCTTTTATTCATCAACCAGCCCTAAAACCTACTAAAGGTTAAACATTTTAAATTGCAAACTGTACTTAATTACGGTGATGCAAGTAAATGACAATTACACCCCTGCAAAATAGTAAAAGTTCTAAATCAAAACCATTTTGAATTTTTGTTATTCTTGTCCCTGCTATTTGTAATTTTTTTTTTATCTAATTTTGACATATAGTAATCCTGCACAACAATGTGATAATTTGGTTTCTATTAAAATTTAGGAAATTTTGATTATTTGTTGACAAATTGCAGCTCAATATAGAAACATCATCATTGTTCTCTTGTTGTAATGTCAGGATTTCCAAGAGCCAGACATCGACTGGGATGTTGCTGCAGAGTACAGCCCAGATGTGGACGGTGCTGCTGTGGTCCCGGAGTTCGACAGTCCCCTCACTGAAGAGCAGCATGCTGAACTGCATCCATGCTTTCGTTCTTTTTTAAACACAGAAACAGTTTTGTTTACCTGTTAGTAGCTACAGTTTCGCCGACGGCTGCCGGCTTCTTCAGGCTGACGCTGTTGGTGGCGCGTCACTTCCTTCTCCGTTTATCTGCGGGCAGCAGAGACAACTGCCCGCAGATAAACGGAGAAGGAAGTGACGCGCCACCAACAGCGTCAGCCTGAAGAAGCCGGCAGCCGTCGGCGAAACTGTAGCTACTAACAGGTAAACAAAACTGTTTCTGTGTTTAAAAAAGAACGAAAGCATGGATTTAGAAAGACACAGCAAGAACACACCTAAGATGCTGAACTGCAGTTGCTACTGGCACAAAATTGGGAGCGTTCAAACACTAAGGAACTTTATCTATTGTGCAGAGAATATGTTAATGCTGCTTTGTCAGATTAATGTGTACTTGAAATAAAAAATCAAGAGATCAGTTCCAGTGCTTTTATTAATGTTACAAAAGAAATACATAACATGTATTTGAAATGGCAATAAGCCTAACTTTATGGATTCATGTAACAATGTCGCTTTCTAGCTCCAAAACATTACATTATTTAACAAAACCATTTGTATTTTTGGAATCAAAGTTAAATATGAACCATTATACAGTAACCTGAACCCAGAACAGTGGCCATCTTGTTTTCACTTAATGTCTGCTAAAATCAAATCTATCACAGACTGCCTGAGTAAGCTGACTTTCAAAGTCAGTGTATGTAGTAACGTGCCATGTAGGTAAGGTGATTAAGTGTGGTCCATACCGGGTGGTACTGTCGTGATCAACATTTAGTTATTTTGTAAAATTCTCTTTCTGTGTCTGTTAGTGGCACATGTGCCTGGCCTGAAACCCACTGAAAAAAATCCTTGCACTGACAACTGCTTTGCTCCACAGCCATCTGATGGGCTCCCATCTTGGTCATCTGTTCCTGAAGGGTGAAAAAAAAATCAGTGTGTCACTAACATGATTGAGGTACTGATTACCTCTCTGTAATTAAGGTGTAATGGCTAAATCAGTTTCAAAACAAATATATTTATAATTTATTTTTAAATTTTTTTTATTTGATGGGGGATTGGGTGAAACACAATGGTCTCTCTGACACTTCAAAATTTTCTCAATCAATCAATTTTTATTTATGTAACACCTTCCACTGCCTTTGCAGGAGCCCAAGGCACTGAACATAACAATTTTAAAAAGAGCTAAGCATTATGAGCAGTAAAAGTGGAATAATCCTGCATGGTTCTGTGGCTACCTCCTTCTTCCAGGTTTTGCAAGAGGTCCTGCAAAAAGTTGATCATGTCCACTTCCTTTGTGTCTTACTGATCCATTGTCACTGTACTGAGGAGCCAGTGCCTCCACAACGAAGTCTGCATCCACCTACAAAAGACGTTTTTAAAAATACTGTGAATTAAAAAGATAAAACTGTTAGGGCTGCTTCTGCTTATCCTGCAGAGCTAAATTAATATAAGAAAATGAAGATGTATACCACTAAAAAATATGTAAAACTTCATTGCCATGATATTAGAATAAAAAATACATCTGATAGCTTCCTTAAAGAAAACTTAAAATTGCTGTCTGTAAAAAAAATGATAGCTGTAAAAAAATAAATTGGGGCAAACATTGTTAAACAAACAGATTATTGTACTTGTGAATCGATTTGATTCTTAGTATTTTTATAAGAATCGGTTAGAACTGTTGATGGAACAAAAACAGCTTCAGCTTCTCTGCATTTCCTATATGTTTTTGTAATGGACATATTTTTTTTGCAGAGGCCTAAAGAATTTGTACTTACCTGTTTAAGGTTCCCAGGAAGAAAGAGGGGCTGAAGTGCCTGGTGGTGTTGTGGCAACAGCTCATCCAAACCCTAGATGGCCAGTCCTTCTCTAAGCTGACTTAGCATCGGTATGAGTCTCATCACCGAATGCAAACTGATGGCCCTAGTAAAAAGAATAATGAACTTGTAATAACTCAATTTTCAAAAATTGCATGACTTGTTTAATGCTACATTAACATACTCAATGATGGCCTTTTTGCAATTGCTGTGAATTGACCAGTGTAGCCACATGCTACAATGGCATCAGAAAGGTCTGTCAGTGCGTCTTCTTCGGCACGTTCGACCTTCAATCAGAAACACTTGTTAGTACAATTTACAGAAAATAAATTATTCTGTTTAATTTACCTCCTGAATCAGGTTCTGGATTGCCGTATCAGTCACCTCTGGCACATCTTCATTTGTTATTTGTCCATGACGCAAGAAATGGTAAGACCAAGTAGAAAAGAAATTCGGTGCTGGTCCTGCTTGAACCAAGCTGGTGGCAATGATCTCCCCACAGATCCTGAACACAAAACAAGCCAAGTTACACTGCAGAGCAGCATCATACTGTACATACCTGTAGTTGTTTTCCTGGTAGTAAGAGATACTATATTTGGGGTTTTGCCTTTGCATGAAACTCCTTCAAATAAGTTCAACTCAAGGCCTCGCATCATTTCTATTGGGAAAAAAGAAATGACAGTTTGCCATTTTCAACTATATTCAAAGTTGGTATGTTGACATTAGCAAGGAATACATACCAGTTAGGAACTCTCGGCGTAGTGCTCCTTCATCAATGTCGTGTTCTCCAATAAAGGAAACAATTAGCTGGTTTTTGTGGGAAGCCTGCTTCTGTCTGGCCCGCTGTTTCAGACCTCTCTGGTAAAGGTCGTCCCTTGTCACATTAATGTTAAAGGTTTTAGTGTTGTCAACTCTTTCTTGTAGGAACTTCAGGATGTCTGATAAGCTATTGACAACAACATTGTGTTTATTATTATTTATTTTAAAACCTACACATTAACACAAATATTTGTAAAAATTCTAACCAGATTAAGTGCTTAGAAGAGTCATCCACATCCAGTATGATGCTGTTCAGATGTGGAAACAAACAAAAAAAAAAAGATTAAACTCTCATAACATATTGTGTACAACGTGCATGGGTAAAAACATGCACCTGTCCTCTTCCTCCTTCACCACAAAAGCTGGCATGCAATTGTATAGACTCCTGAGTAAATTCTTATCACACAATGGACAGGAAACCTATTAAAGACATTTTTTTAAATCAGTGACCAACAATCATTGTTAAGTAAACAATAATGATTAACATGAAATGTAATTAAAATATTCTGTATATTGCTAACGTGCATGTTTGAAGTTTGATTTAAAGGGATATTCCACCCTATGTGAAAATTTGTCTACTGTCTAAATTGGCTCCTGCAAATGTGTTACTTCTTACTTTTCATTTGCAGTCAACATGATTATTGAGCTCAACAGGAATAACTGGTATCATAATTTAGTAATTTTACAGTTTTGCACACAAAATGCTACTACCTCCCATTAAGTTACATGGTTTATTCTCATCTAAAGCAGACAGACTGCTGGCAGATAAGAATTACTGCGCTGGTTAAAACAATCCTTTTTCATTCACTTATCCAACTCTGGGGAATACGGCACTAGAAAACATTTTTGGATCTTTCCCTGACACATATCTAGCCCCTCATAACTCGATCCCCAGTTCCTGGATAAAACACCGGACATTTTATTCCATGTAGGACCCTAATCCACCTAGCTATGTGCCCCTGTTGCAATATTAAATGCGAGGAGTCGTAAAAAGTAGCATAACAAAACAATTTTATGGAATAAACTGCAGCTAGTAGCCTTGAAAAATAACTTACTTGAGCGTCTTGTTGGTTCTGGTCCATTTTGCTGGTGCAGGTGAAACTCTCGCTCCAGATCAGAGCGGGTATTAGCCAGGCTGTTAGTGCGCAGATGCGGCAGCCACACAGGAAAATCCACAGAGCGCAAAACGAGCGCACCCCAAAGAGGTTTGTTCCCGCCCAGTCCCACAAGTCTTTCTATTGGCTGAGCGGTTGCTAGGAGATTGTACTTCTAAGTTTTGAGCGAGAGCAGACAAGATCCGTGAGAGCAGGGGACAGACTTGTGGGAGGAGTTTTGATCCGTGCAGAGAAAAAGCTGTCACATGAGAAGACAATACCAGTGTAAGAAGGTTAAATCTGAGCGCAAAAACAAAGATTTGAAGGAGAACAGAGTGAATTTGAAAGAGAGCAGACATTTTGAGCGCAAGCATTACAAGTTTTGAGAGCAATAATATAAAATAGTATTCTGAAATTAAAAAGATGGTCTCTTGATATGAAATTCTGCTCTCAAATTGAAAGTTCAACTGCTCAGTTTCTGGCACTTTAATTCTTCCACGCCTCCAGAGTGCCAAAACTCCCAACAGCCGAGCGAGCAGAATCAGAAACCGAGCGCGCAGAAAGGCTGCCACACGTGCAGTGAGGCTGCCGCACCGAGCGCGCAGTGAGGCTGCCGCGCGCATGTTTTCCTCTGCCGTGTGCTCGTTGGCCAACGAGCGCACGCAGGTTTGTCACTTGTGCACATCCTTGTGCGCTCACAGACACAGTTTGCTCCCTCTCAGTGTACAAATGACCTCCTCGCCATGTATATTTTCACTCATGAGGTTCTAACCTCCACGCGCGAGTCCCGTTCGCACGAGCGATGTGCACAATACGCGTGCACGGGTTTTGGCTACGCTTGCACGGGTTTTGGCGGAAACCTGACACCATACTTTTTTACATTAGAGAACATAGTTGTCATGGCTCGAGGTAAGTGTCTAACCCAAGACATGCAGAATCAGCACATGTAGTCCAAAGCAGTAAAGTAAAATGTCTTTATTATAAAAACGGGAACTGAAACCGCACAGGGAAGTCCTGTGGGGATGAGCAATACGGCTCGAGTCCCTGAGGTGCTCAGGTTAATCAGGAGAGGAGGGGAAGCCGGGGAGGACGCTGGGCAGAGGATGAGAGATCCAGGAGGGGTGAGGTAGCAGAGGGAAAGCCAAACAGGAACGGCGGAGGAGGATGGGACGTGATGAGTATGTTCCAGAAAACGAAGACAGCGAGGGTGAGTAGATGATGAGATGATCCTGAGCGAGACAAAAACAGGCGTAAGGGATAATCCAATTCCAAATCCAAAATACAATCCAAGGTCATAAATCCACTAGTCGAAGGCGAGTCAAAACACGAATTAACAAGATCAAAGTTCAGAGTCGAGTGGCTGGTGCTACCTAAACTGGTGCAATCATCCGGCAAAGTGATGTGTCTCTATCCTCCTTTTGAACCCGCGTCCCTGATTGGGAAATCTCCTGCAGCTGCCGCTCCCCCTGCTCCTCACCTGTGGAGAATTAGCTCAGAGTCTGGTGAGAGGAGAAGGTGTGACTCACCTCTGCCCAGGAACATGACAGTGCCCCCCCCCCACCCCCCCCCCCCCACCCCCTCAACGGACGCCCCCCGGCGGCCCAGCACCGGATCTGGAGGCCTCGAAGTCCGAGATGAGAGAGGGGTCCTGGATGTTGGACCGGGGAATCCAGGAGCGTTCCTCCGGGCCGTAC